ATAGACTAGACTATAGACTAGACTATAGACTAGACTATAGACTAGACTATAGACTAGACTATAGACTAGACTATAGACTAGACTATAGACTAGACTATAGACTAGACTATAGACTACTAGACTAGACTATAGACTAGACTATAGACTAGACTACAGATTAGACTATAGACAAGACTATAGACTAGACTATAGACTAGACTATAGATTAAACTATAGACTGGACTATATACTAGATTATAGACAAGATTATAGACTATAGACTAGACTATAGACTAGATTATAGACTAGACTATAGACTAGATTATAGACTAGACTATAGACTAGACTATAGACTAGACTAAAGACTAGACTATAGACTAGACTATAGATTAAACTATAGACTAGACTAGACTATAGACTAGAGTATAGACTAGACTATAGACTAGACTATAGACTAGACTATAGACTAGACCATAGACTAGACTATAGACTAGACTATAGACTAGACTATAGACTAGACTATAGACTAGACTATAGACTAGACTATAGACTAGACTATAGACTAGACTATAGACTAGACTATAGACTAGACTATAGATTAAACTATAGACTAGACTATATACTAGATTATAGACAAGATTATAGACTATAGACTAGACTATAGACTAGATTATAGACTAGACTATAGACTAGATTATAGACTAGACTATAGACTAGACTATAGACTAGACTATAGACTAGACTAAAGACTAGACTATAGACTAGACTATAGATTAAACTAAAGACTATAGACTAGAGTATAGACTAGACTATAGACTAGACTATAGACTAGACTATAGACTAAATTATAGACTAGACTATAGACTAGACCAAAGACTAGACAATAGACCAGACTATAGACCAGACTATAGACTAGACTATAGACTAGACTATAGACTAGACTATAGACTAGACTATAGACTAGGACTATAGACTAGACTATAGACTAGACTATAGACTAGACTATAGACTAGACTATAGACTAGACTATAGACTAGACTATAGACTAGACTATAGACTAGACTATAGACTAGACTATAGACTAGACTATAGACTAGACTATAGACTAGACTATAGACTAGACTATAGACTAGACTATAGACTAGACTATAGACTAGACTATAGACTAGACTATAGACTAGACTATAGACTAGACTATAGACTAGACTATAGACTAGACTATAGACTAGACTATAGACTAGACTATAGACTAGGCTATAGACTAGACTATAGACTAGACTAGACTATAGACTAGACTAGACTAGACTATAGACCAGACTATAGACTAGACTATAGACTAGACTATAGACTAGACTATAGACTAGACTATAGACTAGACTATAGACTAGACTATAGACTAGACTATAGACTAGACTATAGACTAGACTATAGACTAGACTATAGACTAGGCTATAGACTAGGCTATAGACTAGACTATAGACTAGACTATAGACTAGACTATAGACTAGACTATAGACTAGACTATAGACTAGACTATAGACTAGACTATAGACTAGACTATAGACTAGACTATAGACTAGACTATAGACTAGACTATAGACTAGACTATAGACTAGACTATAGACTAGACTATAGACTAGACTATAGACTAGACTAGACTAGACTATAGACTAGACTATAGACTAGACTATAGACTAGACTATAGACTAGACTATAGACTAGACTATAGACTAGACTATAGACTAGACTATAGACTAGACTATAGACTAGACTATAGACTAGACTATAGACTAGACTATAGACTAGACTATAGACTAGACTATAGACTAGACTATAGACTAGACTATAGACTAGACTATAGACTAGACTATAGACTAGACTATAGACTAGACTATAGACTAGACTATAGACTAGACTATAGACTAGACTATAGACTAGACTATAGACTAGACTATAGACTAGGCTATAGACTAGACTATAGACTAGACTATAGACTAGACTATAGACTAGACTATAGACTAGACTATAGACTAGACTATAGACTAGACTATAGACTAGACTATAGACTAGACTATAGACTAGACTATAGACTAGACTATAGACTACTAAGACTAGACTATAGACTAGACTATAGACTAGACTATAGACTAGACTAGAGACTAGACTAGACTAGACTAGACTATAGACTAGACTATAGACTATACTATAGACTAGACTATAGACTAGACTATAGACAAGACTATAGACTAGACTATAGACTAGACCATAAACTAGACTATAGACTAGACTATAGACTAGACTATAGACTAGACTATAGACTAGACTATAGACTAGACTATAGCCTAGACTATAGACTAGACTATAGACTAGACTATAGACTAGACTATAGACTAGACTATAGACTAGACTATAGACTAGACTATAGACTAGACTATAGACTAGACTATAGACTAGACTATAGACTAGACTATAGACTAGACTATAGACTAGACTATAGACTAGACTATAGACTAGACTATAGACTATAGACTATAGACTAGACTATAGACTAGACTATAGACTAGACTATAGACTAGACTATAGACTAGACTATAGACTAGACTATAGACTAGACTATAGACTAGACTATAGACTAGACTATAGACTAGACTATAGACTAGACTATAGACTAGACTATAGACTAGACTATAGACTAGACTATAGACTAGACTATAGACTAGACTATAGACTAGACTATAGACTGGACTATAGACTAGACTATAGACTAGACTATAGACTAGACTATAGACTAGACTATAGACTAGACTATAGACTAGACTATAGACTGGACTATAGACTAGACTATAGACTAGACTATAGACTAGACTATAGACTAGACTATAGACTAGACTATAGACTAGACTATAGACTAGACTATAGACTAGACTATACACTAGACTATATACAAAACGGTTTTATAAAAGTTTGAGGGACCTATAACCGTTCTACAGCAGTTCGTTCAAAAACTATTTAAAATCATTACTTACCTTTCTCCTGGACTTTCAGCTCAAAGACTATAAACAATAAATGAGCACTTAATAATCTAATAAGTTCTGTTGTATTAATATCCGTGATAATTTCTAATAAATTATTGAAATTCAATAAAAATTCTAAAGAATCATACATAGTTTTAGTGTAAGACTTTAAATTAACAATGGAACCCTATGGGAGTAACATAATAAACATTATTTTCCTTTAAGCTTCTTATTAACTTAACTTACCATATGTCCCACATAAAAATCCATTATATGTTTTAAAATCAATATTTCCGAAAATTTACGCTTCATCATGGTTATATACAATTGACAGGCTAAATTTGAGGTTATGTGATCAGTTTTGAAGATAACATTTAAAATAGATTCCATAAATTCACGCGAAAAACAATCCAAAGTTACAAGTTTGCTAGAAAACGTTAAAAACAACTATAAACAATCATACATAATATAGAAAATTCCCTTAATACCTTTGTAATATATTTAAAAACTTTAAGGCTTCCTGCTGGATTTTCTCCAAATTTTTGGTGGTTATTTTATTATACCATTTATGTCTTTTAGCGAGAAATGTGGTGAAATATATTTGCAACATAAAGGGTTCGATGAGAAAATTTATTAAAATATTCGATTTATAAGAGCTGTCCAGTTCCATGAGCATATTTTTTAAAGTTTCATAGAGTTTTAAGGGGGTTAAAGTGTTGATATCTACGGAAAAGGCTTCATAAAAGAAATTGATAGTTTGTGTAGAACTCGTATAAAACAAATCAAAATCTTTGGCAAAAATATCCAATAAACCAGAAAATATCATATCGTGTGTTTGTTTATAACTAAAATAAAAAAATAAAAGAAAAGAAACAGTCTATAGTAAAGTCTATCTGGAATTCTTCCTTTAAATACTTACAAAAGTCCCTGCAAGGCACTCCAATACAAACGATTACATATGGCATCCAATAGATGCAAATCTAAGCGATACATTTTACGTAAATTATGCATACCCATTAGCATATGGAAATCTACAAAAGCTAAACAGTTCATATCTTCCTTAAATATCTACCTTTAAGCTTTTCTCACTTATTCTCGCTAAGGGCTCCTCAAATCTTTTATTCGTCTGCAGCTCCTCCAACTTTTGCAATTGTTTATAAACATTACACCATACAGCCGTTAATTGCATTAAATATTCCACCGGACTTTCAATATCCTCATCTTCATGCAGCTCCCGTACATCATTTAGAAATATTTCATGTTGCAATTGCACCAAGGAGCACACCTCTTCAAGAAATTCTTCCAAGTTTCGAAAATCCATTTCAACATAATGAAAATTATAAATTTGTATTTGTTCCAAAGGCCAGTCATAAGGTCCGCCGGAGTTGATTTCCTCAGCTGTTATGTGGCACTCTAGTCCCAGACCTTGTAGAAGATCATTAACAAAGTTACAGGTGAATTCTAGGCTTAATTCTTTTTCCTGCCAGGATTTTTTGAGCAAAGTTTGTACAAATTCTAGGCCCACTTGCTGGAAGGGAATATGTTAAAGGAATTTAAGGAAGAACTTTAGAATTTATTATACCTTGACCGAGACACCAGTTTTTAAAAGTTTTAGGAAATGCATTTGCTTAATAGAAGTTGGTTACAAACAAGGAAAAGGCTTTTACTTCGATTCCTGTAAAGAAAATTTAAATGTTTTAAAAAAATTAAACCGCCTTTTTTGGGTTAAACAGCTGTTTGTAATGAGTTACCAAACTTTAATAGATGAACAAACAACAATTAAAGAATATATGTTGTTACAATAATAACAACAGATTATTTTTAAATATTTTATATTTGCATTATTATTTTAAATAAAATATTCCATTAATGTTGAATAAAACAATATTATTATCACAAACTGCAAACAAAACAAATCAAAATAACCGTTAATAATGACATGAGTTGCCAACCATTTGCCTAATAAAAATACAACCTTGTTTAACAAAACAAGAACAACAAAACAGCTGTCACTGGCAATTGCAGCCGCAGAGAAAAAACATAAACAATACACCGCAAATTTTAATTTTTTTTATAAAAATCATTGAATTCCCCAAAAAACTTGTATAAAATGAGCGAATTACAGGATACACTAACACAAGATCATATAAAATTGGTAATTACTTTAATCACGTATAAACTACCAGGGAAAACTTTAAGATTTCTTTACCCTAACAGGTGGAAAGTATCAATCACCGTGTCGACAGTATTTACAAACATTTGTGTGAATATGAGGAATCCATTGATCCACGTACCCTAGAGGATTATGGTGATTCACAAACAAAAATTATGGACTTATTAGAGACATTAGAAACAATACAAGAGGCGGCTCAACGTATACGTCCTTTTAATTTGGAATTGCGTTCGCGTCAGCAGGCATTGGAAGAACAAATGAAATGTTTGGAACAATCGGTGGTTTTAATGAAACTAGAAACGGGCAGTGGTGATAGTCAAATGCAGGAATAGTACGGGCAAAAAGGGCAACAGATATTTTAAGTATTAATGAAAAAAAAATTAACAATTTTTTATATAATTTTATAAATTTTTTTACATTATTTTTTTGATAATGCAATAAAGTATTCAGTATAATATGGAATTTTAGGAGAAAATATTGGTATAAACTTATTGGATTATTTCAGTTCTAAAGAGTTGTTGTTTTTGCAGCAAATCGATTCCTAAGGAGGCTATAGATTAGACTTTAGTCTGAAGTATAGACTAGTCTTGAGTATGAATTATAGACTAGTCTGATCTATAAACAAGTGTATAGTGTGATCTATAGTCTGATCTATAGACTAGTCTATACTTTGATCTATAGACTAGTCTAAAGTGTGATCTATAAACCAGTATATAGTGTGATCTATAGTTCCTCTGGTCTTTCTTCTATACTCGGGTTTATGTACCTGCAAATCTTTCAGTAATTGCGTATCAAATCCCTCTTTAAATGAAGAAAATTGCTGTTAATTAGTTTATTTTAGCTTTATTTTTATTTATTAATCTTTTTGCAATTTATATTTAATATAAAACAAAAAGATTTTATAAAATAATTAAAAAATCAAGAAAATATATAATTACACCACTTAAAAACAAATAAACATGCTTGAAGCTTAAAAAATACATCAAATCTTAACATTTACATAACTAATATAAAGAAAAATTACGCCAAAAGTTTAATTATAAAAAAATCAAAATATTTTATTAAAATAAAACTTAAATTAGCTAAACAGAAAAAGAGTATTATGAAAAAAAGTTTTCGAGAATTCACACACATAAAAAAGATTATCTAAAAGACATTTAAATTTCTTGATATTTTTTAAAGAATTTCACTTTTAACTAATATATTTTAGCACAATATAGAAGAAAGTTTGGAAAAAACATAAAACCCATAAGAAAAACAATTACTTTAAGGTGTCAGGCAGCATTGTTGCTGCTGCTGCTGCTGCCCTTTTGCAGCCAGGCCAATAGGAATTGTAAAGCAGGCTGTAATAACACCAATTTTCAGATATCTGTATTAATACTAATACGTGTTAAAAATTCACCATGTGAATCGGCTACGGCTCGTATAATCTCCAGTAATAGCTCCCGCGAGAGACCGGATATTTTAGGCAAACGTGCGACACGAGCAAAATCCTTAACTATTAATTTTAAGGCATGTTCTTTAATATCGAAAATTTTCGTATAATCTGAAGCCTCTAGGGTTTGTAGAACATTTTCGTAGGTTATATTATGTTCGAGGGAGTATTTGCAAAACGAATGTAAACGATTATTGGAGAGGCCGTAGAAGTGAGGGGCCTGAAATAGATAGAGAGCATCTTGGGGCGGTAATTTCGTTTCGCCGTAATAGATGTAACGTAGTAGGGATTGGAAGGCTTCGACGGAGGGTAAAATATCACCAATGGAAATCTGTAAAAGCGAAAAAATCCGAATGAAATAGAAGTAAATTTCAATTTGTTTTACAAAATTATAATTTTTGGGTTTTAAATACATTTTTTTTTAAATAGTAGTAGAAATACTACTATTTCAAAAAGGTATTATTTTATAAAAAACTAAGGCTAAATAGTTTATATTATATTAAAAGTGCATTTTTGGGTTTTAAATCAATTTTTTAAAAAGGTAGTAAAAATGCTACTTTTTCAAAAATGGTATTTCTTATAATAAATGCAAATTAAAAATTGTAATTTAAATATATTTTTGGTATTAAATCAGTTTTTTACTTTTTCAAAATGATATTTTTTATAAAAATTACGGTTTTAATTGCATAAATTTTAATTTAAATACACTTTTTGATATTACATCAGTTTTTTAAAAAGGTAGTAGAAATACTACTTTTTTGAAAATGGTACTTTTTAAAAGAAATAAGATTCAAATATCTTAAAATATAATTCAAGCCTACTTTTCGGTTTTATATAAACTTTTTAAAAAGGTAGTAGAAATACTACTTTTTTAAAATAGTATTTTTTATAAAAAATAAAGTTTAAATAGCTGAAATTATAAAACAAAAAAAAAAATTGGTATTAAAAACATTTCCCTAAAAAAGTAGTAGAAATTGTAGTATTTTTAATACTTTTTCTTAAAACGTCAGAATTTTGTAAAAACTTATTTTAAGCATTAATTAAAGTTTTTTGAACATACTGACATAGTTTTTGCCTAAAAATTAGGACGTTTTAAAATGGTAGTATTTCTACTACTCTTCTTAAATATTTTATAAAACGGGAAATTTTTAACAAAAACAGTTTTAAGCGTTAATAAATATTTAATATTGTTAATATATGATATTTTTTCAATAAAAATGGATTTTTTTAAAAAGTAGTATTTTCAATACTTTTTTAAAAACAGCTGCAAAAATTAGTTTTTATTCAACAGTAATCAAGATTTATTAAAAATTAATAAGTTTCTGTTATAAAAACTAGATTTTTTAAAATTAATAAGATTCTGTTATAAAAACTAGATTTTTTAAATAGTAGTATTTCTACTATTGTTTCTGTGATTAAACTCTAAATTAGAAAATTCTTACAGAAATATGTTTTAAAGCAATATTAAAATATTATTATTGATAATAAATGTTATTTTTTCAATAATAACGAATTTTTGAAAAAAGTAGTATTTTAACTACTTTCCTTTTTAAAAACTAAAAGGTGCCAAAAATTTCTTAAAAGTTAGTTTTTAACCAAAAATACGACAATCTTGTTAGTTTTCAACATGTTTTTATCATAAAAATCTGAACTTTCAAATAGTAGTATTTCTACTACTTTTTCTAATTTTACTTTAAAACTAATATTTGTCACAAAAATCAGTTTTTAAGCAGATGTTATCTAGTTTTATTGTTATTTAACAAGTTTTTGGCATAAAAATCAGATTTTTCAAATAGTAGTATTTTTACTACTTTTTCTAATTTTACTCTAAATCGAATATTTTTCAAAAAAACTATTAAGCAAAAATAAACTAGTTTTATAGTTACTTAACAAGTTTTTGCTATAAAAAACTGATTTTGACAATAGTAGTATTTCTACTACTTTTTTAATTATCTTCCAATATATATTTTTTTTTTGCAAATTTCTGTTTTTAAGAAAAAAAAGTATTTTTTTTTTAATTTTTAATATGTTTTTGTCATAATAATCTGATTTTTTCAAATAGTAGTAGTTCTACTACTTTTTATAATTTTACTTCTAAACGAATATTTGTCACAGAAATCAGTTTTTAAGCAGATATTGACTAGTTTTATTGTAACTTAACAAGTTTTTGGTATAAAAAACTGATTTTGAAAATATGTAGTATTTCTACTACTTTTTCAAATTATCTTCCAATATATTTTTTTTTGCAAAATTCTGTTTTTAAGAAAAAAATAAGTATTTTTTTTTTTTAATTTTTAATATGTTTTTGTCATAATAATCTGATTTTTTTCAAATAGTAGTAGTTCTACTACTTTTTATAATTTTACTCCTAAACGTATATTTGTCACAGAAATCAGTTTTTAAGCAGAAATTGACTAGTTTTATTGTAACTTAACAAAAACTGATTTTGAAAATATGTAGTATTATTTTTACTACTTTTTCTAATTATTTTCGAAAATGTAAATTTTTTGCAAAAATTTGTTTTAGAGGAAAAATAAAATATTATTGTCAGTTTTTAACAAATTTTTTATAAAAAATTTGATTTTTCAAATAGTAGTATTTCTGCTACTTTTTTTAATTTACTCCTAAACGAATATTTTTCACAAAAAATAACAACTTTTATTGGTACTTAACAAGTTTTTTCTATAAAAATGTGATATGTCAAATAGTAGTATTTCTACTACTTTTTTAAATTTTCGAAAAAATTTGTTTTTAAGAACAAATAAGTAAATATTGTTAGTTCTTAACAAGTTTTTGTTATTAATAGAGATTTTTAAAATAGTAGTATATCTACTACTTTTTAAAATTATCTTCTAAAACGAAAATCTTTTCCAAAAATCCTATTTTAAACTCAAATAAATAATAGTTTCTGTTAAAATACAGTTTTTGGAAATAGTAGTATTTCTACTACTTTTTCCAATTTCATTCTAAAACCAAAAGTTTTCAGAAAAATCACATCTAAAGCAATAAAAAACTAGACTATAGTCTGATCTAAAGAACTTTCAATAATTGAGTCCATATTTTGAACTATAGTAGAGTTTATAGATCAAACTATAGCTTGGCTTATAGTTAAGCTTTACTTTTTAAACTTACATTAACCGTATTATCCGGTGGCATAAATGAACGAAACATGGCCTGGAAATATTGTGTGCGAGCCGATAATATAGATTTATGAGCCATGATAACCTGACCCTCCAAAACTAAGTTTATATCGCAAAAATCTTTGCCGGTGGACTCCAAAAATACCGCCATATCACTTTCCAAAGTGGTGCCTGTAAATCATAGAACATGTATTAAAAACGTATTGCATTTTGAAATCTTCCATTCCTTCTACTTACCCACATTCTTATCCATATTAGGATCAGCCACTATTTTACTGGGATTTAATTTTTTGCGTATAATTTCCACCAATAAAGGTTTATCTAAATCGCTAAATTCATTGGACATTACAACATCGGTAAAGTTTTCCTCTTTGATTAGGAAATGCATGCAATGATCCTTGACAATTTGTATCCTGTTTAAAGAAAACAAATATAATGAAAAATTTCAAAACGGTTTTGTGGCTAAAACATACTTCTTCTTATCCGCATTGTACAAAGCTTCCAAAACATTCTGTTTATTAATTTTAAAATCCAAATACTGTATACAACCATGAGCCAAACGGGGCATTAGAAATAAACCCGCCAATTGATAAATATCCGTTATAAGTATTATAATATTCTTATTATACGATTCCTTTAAATCTATACGATCTGTATAGATATAATTGAGTATAATCTCAAATGCCTCGGGATTGGCATTGGGTAAACGCACTTCCAATAAAGGTTCTTGATTTGCTCCCTGCGTACAAGTGCGCACTTCTATGCAACCCGAACCAAACACTTTTTCCATTTGCTGTTGCCTGGCATCTCTAGCAGCCAAGATTTTAGTTCTTAAATATTTTGAACGCGCCGCCACAAAGGCTATATGGGCCATTATTTTCGTTTCTTCGGGACCCACTA